TATAATATATATATATGTATATATATTGGCCAATAGGCGTATTTGATGTCTTCTAAATATTTCATTTATTTACCCGAACATTTACCAAATATACTCTTTTATTATTATATTGCTATTAATAAATGAGTTTTTATACTTTTTAAAAATTATAACTACATTATTCATCATTAATTGGTTTAACATTCACAACAGGAATAATCTCTTCAAAAAGCTTCAAGGTTTTCTGATTAATAAAAATGTATTTATACAAATGTACATTTATATCATGCATACTAAAGAACGCTGGAAATGAATATGAAATACAATGTGTGTTTAGACGATTAGTAGACCAGTACACATCATCGTTCACAGTTATAATTTTTATTGATAGACATACGAGTGTTATATAATTTCTTCTCAGCTGCGCCTGTGGTCAGCGACAGGCAATTACGAAACACCTTTCAAATTTGGACGTAATCGTGAAATAATTAATTCAATATAATTATTTCACGCTATTCCACGTTCAAATATGAACCACATTAATCACGCAAATTTTATAATCATGTTTTGCAACTTACTAACAAGGCAGGCCGAAGGGAAGGTCTCTGCGTGACTAGACCGCACACTCTGATAGCCTGCCGAGCAATAACGTTCAAGACACCAACCGCAATGAAACGAGTTTGAGGAATAAAATCAAAACAGTAACTTTCTTGTAAAAAATAAATTATTCTTACCCGCCTGGTGGTTTTTTTTATACTTCTATAGAATTCCCAGATGTTGATACTTTTTTTAAGTTCAGTTTTTCGTTGAACAGATATTGAAGGTTCTGATATTTTCTCTCAGATCTGTCGAAAATACAAAATTCCAAGAATACGGCGCTCGGAAGAAACGTGTCTATGTCTTACAGCGCAATCGTCAGCCGTCAGAGAATACTCTTGTTTACGTTTTTCTGAAGGAGAAACAATGAATAGAATTTCTTTCACTCTTCGTTAAGCTCAGTCCGTCATAGATAGCTATAGCCCGCGGTTTTGCACAGTCGATCCAATATTGCCCAGTATCTTGATGCGTTTCTAAGCGCAAGCCGTAAGCTTAGAGCGACACTGACGAGAGGGTTTAACGTAATTTAGTACCCAAGGAAAGTTAACCAATTCTCGAATATATTTTACTCATTCAGGTAACCGAATCATGGGGACTTTATTAGTGTATTAAACTAAATAAGCCCAGCTACATACGGTCTTCAAGAGGAATATTCATATTCAACCAGTAGAAAGCATTTGGTGGATTTTATAATCTGTAATTTTGTTTCCATTAGTTTCGCATAAAGTTTTTTTTTTTAATCCAAAACGCAATATAACCATATCACGTGATAGTATATCTCGATTGGTGGTTGCTATTTGGATATCATGACGTCGTCCAGAGCCTAGGTAGAATTATACCCTATCTGAATAACGTTTGAATGGTATGAGCATCCGAATGATGGATTGGATACCTCTTTTCCTCAGAGCAACAAGTTTTAAGAAAACATAATCAACAAAAGCAACGTATAAATTTACATTTAATGTTATCAATCAATTCATACAATTCTCATAAAATGATCTGATGGAGCTTCAACCTGGAAAAATCCTACACAGAAGACTCCCATTTACAAGGACCTACGTGATTAAGAAACTACGGGTGGAAACATGGAAATTAGACGACATTTATAAGACATTTGGAATAGAACTAAATTCTTGTTTAAGATCAATTCAGTAAAGTTATGTCAAAAGCAAATATTCTGTGCACCGATGTTGTATGGGTAAAATGTTAATAATAAATGATTATATTTCTCTGGATTTATGATACCTATAGAGAGTCTGTTACGCGACTGAAATAATGGATTGACGTATTATACTTAGGTCTGATAGTATACAAACAATTTAGATCCCTGAATTAATAAGAACTAAACTCAGACCTTAAACACGAAAAAGAACCCATTGTAAAAACCTATATAAGCGGGCATTTTCTGTATTATATTTACGATAGAAAATATAGTTATACAAATATTTCAGTACTGCATCAAAATGCTGAAGAGATCAAAATTTACAAAAGCATTAATTAATAAGAACTTAATTCAGACCCTAAACACGGAAAAGAACCCATTGTAAAAACTTATATAAGCGGGCATTTTCTGTATTATATTTAGGATAGAAAATATAGTTATGTTTCAGTACCGCATCAAATGCTGAAGAGATCAAAATTTACAAAAGCAAGTATTTCAATTCAAAATAAGCCTAACAGAAAATAGTCAAAGACAAACGAAATGCAAAAGGAAGATTAGTCAGCAATTATAGTAGCGAAAACTGTATACCGTAAAACTTCTAATAATAACCTTGGGTTACTATTTGATTGGGGTTTTTTTAGGATGATGGGTTACTAATAGGCCTATAGTATGGGTTGATATTAGAGTAGTAGGTTACAATATAATAAGCTTAAAGTGGGCAGTTGAAAATAATAAACCCCCATCCACCCCAGCTTTTAATACCGGCAATCATAGAAATAAATAACTACAGTACGAGTAAAAAGTCTATGTTGATTTAATTTCATTTATAAACTCAAAAACACAAGCCCGCCTATCATCTTTTTAAGGAATAAATAATTGTGTTAAAGCGACACAAATATTGATTTGAATGTCATTTTGTCTATAATTTTGATGACTAATATTAACGCCATGTTGGTTATTATTAGAGTAGTGGGTTATAGATTACTTCTCTAGAGCGGGTTACTATTAGAGGGGGTTCAGAGTAATGGGTTATTATTAGAAGTTTTACGGTCTTATATAAAATTAGGGCAATATAATAACAGTTCATTCTTATTCGCATATAACAAGCTCTCAATGCGCTGTACGTAAATTTAAATGAAACAGAATATGGGTATAATGTTAAATTGATTTTTACAAACTTGATTGAAAATATAATAATTATTATAAAATGTACGGTATATAAATACGTATAGGCCTTACAATGCGTATGGATTATTTGTTTCCATTTACTGTTAGGGTTTAGAGTTTATCTCTTTAAAAGTAATATTCTTATATAAGGAGTATATCTTTTTATATCATGTCTTGTCGTATGCTTATGAAGAGGGTATCACATAGATGTTTCAAGTGTATACCGTGTGGAGTACTACCGTACCCACACATAAAATATAAAACCTAACCGAGGCTGATATACCGTAGCCTCATTTATGATTCAAAAATTAATTATATGAAAAAGCTCAACCGGGCAGTAAAACACAAATATTTTTATTCAGGAACACATTCCATTAGTTCGCAGACTGACGATTAACTTATTTACTGAAACGTTTATTATTTATTTATTATATTTATTTCCTCCATAAAATATAGGCTTATATAAAAGTACAAAAACTTTCACAGAATAAAAAACATTAAAATTGAATGCTAAAGAAAATGCGTTATAGCATTACTGTACATGTATTCATGTAATTTTCAATTTATTTAATATGACTTTTGTATAAAATAATATTTTTAATCAATACATTTACTTTTAATGCTTTATTGACTGGCTGTTTGAGTAGGCCTCTGCCTACTTAATTAAACTTAATTACACTTAATTACTAGCCATATTCATGTTTTAAACAAAGTATTCCATCCATTTCACTGAATATCGTCCCGAGATCCACTTGTATATTGTTCTCGTTTTGGGGAATTCATGGAAGGCATTATATTTATATGTTTGATACTTGTGTATGATTCCAGAAATACAAGTTCAATTCAATTCAATCAATTGATTTAATTGGATGAGAATGATATGTAAGAAAAATCAAATTGGAAAAGAGAAATTCAAGTTTCTATTGTTTACTTCTGTACTTGATTATTCATTTATTAGAGTTATTTTTGGCAGCTAATGAGTAGGCCCTGTGTATTGCGAAAAGTACCAAATAAAATTAAAATCAAAAGATGGTGCAGAGACACTTGAAGGTATAATTACAAGATTATAAACACATAATATTTTCTCTATAGTAGGCCTAAATGTTAATTTAAAAAAATTGCATGTAAAAGCCCTGAATTGAAAAAATGTCTGTTGAGGGTAATGTACAGTCCCCAGTGGGCAATTGTGAATCCACTTCAGGACCTTCTAATTATAGAATATAGACTCCATTTCCGATCGCCAATGTAGTAATCCACGGTACTAACTGAGCATGACATTAGGCCACCTTGATACTTTCGCTGCACACTAGGCCTACTACATGTCAGACATAACCAATCGCATCACAGGCTTGAAAATTCAGTATGTTTATTATTTTTTAGGATGTGGCTCAGTAACCTGATGAAAGATTAACAAATTATAATGTCATATTTACAAAGATACACCACCTCTTTGTATATTTAACCAATCTTTATTTTGTTACAAATTGTTATTTAATGACACTTCATTTTGTGTTGTTCTTGTCTCATGGCCTGTTCAAAATGTTGTCACAAAGTTCTAATCCCCATTATGAATTGTCCCACTCCCACAATAATATTGGCTGCGGGCAGATGTTCGTCTTAATCCCTAATTGTGGTGTAAACGACACCCACAACAGCTTACAATCATACGGTAAACAAAAGTCAATTAGCCGATGAATAGCAGTAAACATTTCTGATTAGATTTCTTAGGTTTTGCAGGAACATTACAAGCTTTTTAAATACAGTAATTTCCTCGCTAGGCATTACGGTATACACGCTGCTCTCATAATTAGCAATAACACGTAATTACTCTGAACTGATTTGTTATCCATTTTGATTTTACAATATGTTGTGTTAAGATAGTGAATCGGGCGCTTTTTAGTTATTTTGTTATTTATATTTTAGTCTTGAAACCACCCAGTTAAAATATAATCGGATATGCGAGTGGGGAGTTTTAACCTGACATCGGAGATACGGTACAGGTTCTGCTTAAAATAACATTTTTTTATTCAACAATTTATAGTCCTTCACAAGATGCTTTGTCCCAATACCATTTTCTTCAATTTTTTTATGATTTCTCTTTCGTTTTTAGGATAAGTTCGAGTTCGAATGACGTCTAACTGTTTTATATTCTTTAACTACTGTATTTTTTTCTCCTGCGTCGATGGCAAGGTATGCTTTAAACTTTCTGCTATTATTTATAAATGTTTTTCATCATTATTTTTATCATCATTATTATTACTGTTATTTTTTTCGTTATTATTTTTATTATATATATATATATAATGATTTTTTTAATTATTGTTATTATTATAACATTATTATTACTAATAATGGTATTGTTAACATGTCTTAGAACATTATCATCTGTATTACTATCATAATTCTTATATTGTTTTTTTATTATAAACAGACCTTAATTTGACCTATTATCTATTTATCGGTTTTATTATTATTGTTATTACTTTTATTATAATTATAATAATAATAATAATTATTATTATTATTTTTATTATTATTATTATTATTATTATTGTTATTATTATTATTATTATTATTATTATTAATGGTAATTTATATATAGATATCATCAATTTAAAAGGATTGTAATTTCCGTTTTAACCTTTTCTATGAAATAACAAACAGGGGACGATTTCTATTTTAATGAAGACATGTATTGAATTCACAAGACAAAAATAATACGTTCACTTTTTAACTGTCAAGAACCTGACATATTCAACACTTCAACAAATGGATACATCAAAAAGTATACAAATATAACTTCTGTTAATAACTTTGACGTTGTTTACGTCATGAATTTAGTTATTTGCGGATTCATGATAGATAACGAATTCGTTTGGAAAATACAATGAACTATTAGTACAAGTTCAGGTGAAAACATTTCGTGTTAGCTGGTGAATACGTGATCGCCACGATACATCAGTTTAAACAAGTCAGAATTACAAACATGTTAAATATTTAATGTATTCATAAAGTCTTGAAATTCCTGTCTCTTATACACATCTAGATGTGTATAAGAGACAGCACATGATGAGTCCAATGCCGAGTCTGGAGGTTGCGTGGCAGGGGACCGGGAAGAGTCGAAAGATATAGGCCTAGTCTTTAAGGAGATCCTGTGGATTCGCCCCTGCAACCTACAGTAATTCATGGATATGAGTATAGCCGATTTTAGAATCGTATTATCAGTAAAAATTAAGATTTATATTACCAGTAGTTTTTCGAACTTTTTCGAACAGTCATAATTTTAATTACTGTTACAGTGTTGTTGATAATCTTGTAATTAATCCTCGTTAACCTGATTCTCTCACCTTCAAACACCCCTACGCTCGCACTAATGGACCTTTCCGCTAAGCTCCGCCCCTTGGATATTGTTGCTAAGGTCCCACAAGACGGCAGTGTTAAAACATACGCGAACACGTGCGTTTTTGGACAACACGTGTGTTTGTAAGAGGTGCGCGTATTCCTAGCGCTGTTCTGATTAGTCAGTTGTTAAGTTTGATTGACACTCCGGAAAGGTCTATTGTCTCAAATTCTCAGCTATCCATCGTTTCCTTGTCTGGTCCTCACTTCCTTCATAACTAAAAGATTCTACAGTCCTTTGTTCTCTCTCGGTTTTCTTAAGGCAAGTTAAACATTTTTTTTTTTCGACGCATAAATGTTTTATCGTTCTTTTTATTAAATTTTATCAATTATTCAATTGTGTGCGAAATCTGAGTATTCTTTTATTATTTTAATTGTCTTGGCCATTCACTTTTTACATTTTTAACTGTTAGTTTTATATACTCGCTAATATTGTAGATAAGTTTAGTTTTCTGGGCTCCAGACTTTTGTCATGGTGATTTTGTTGATTTTGGGGCCCCAAGACACTTGTCTGAATAAATAAATAAATGAAATGAAATGAAATGAGAAAAAATGTCAGTATTCTACATATTTAGTAGACTCCAAAATCAATCAAATAAGCCTTCGAAACCACTAAATTTTCGTATTTTTCCCGGGGAACACTTCCGAGGGATTTTGAGCAACGCCAGACCACGCCCACATTTTTTTTTCGTCGGGAACATCGTCCCCCCCCCCCCGTCGGCAAATCCTAGCGCCACCTCTGTGGCCATTTAATTTTTAATGATACTGTGTTATTTTTATTGAAATAGGCCTACAGTATGAAACCACTACGGAACAGCCGCTTTTTCAAATTCACGAGTGGATCAAGAGTCTAATTTACCGTCGATAATCCAAAATGGCGACTTACGGGAACGGTGTAAAACGTGGGTTAGAAATAGTGCGAAACATGCCAAGGATCAGGATAGACAGCATCAAAGATAACCCTGGAGCACGGAAAAAGGTAAAATAATGGTAATTTGTGTATTCACTTAATAATTTTGACTGTAATTCGAATATTATGGGTTTGATTATTCTTTTAGGCCTAGGCCCGGGACATTGATGATTGATGTCCTCCGCCAAACAGTTGACTGGGCCGAGTTCGCTAACGACAGCCTACCCTTCCCTTCTTCCTGGGCCTAACCTAGGCCTACTCCCGTGACCTTTAAACTTGAGTCTTCAACTTCTTAGTAGTGCTTGTCAACAGGCATGGTCCCCTGTGTGGAGGACGTTCGGAACCATGCACGACCGAACTCACTCCGGGAATTTGGGCAAGATACTCATAGTACTGGGCTGGGAGGACTGGATAGTCGAACAACAATTAGGTCTAGACCCGCAGCGGGACAAGCAGATGTGTACAATCGTCATTCGTTTTTAATGAAAGTTAAATGTTATGTATTTCAGGTTAGGTTATTGTGGAGTGTTTTTATTATTATTATTATTATTATTTTATATCACCAAGATTTCAGAGGGATCACTTTTAGTGTCAGATGGAGGAACAGTTATGTATGCAGTATTAGGCTCAGACTAAACACAAAGGCCTTTTTTGTCTAAACCAAAATAAATTAGCAAAATAATGGTAATATTTTCATTCTAGGCCAAAAATAACTTAAAGAAAATAACTATTTGTATTTGTCACAAATATCCAATTCTTTACATTTTTTTTTTTTTATTCTTGTAGAAATTACGAAGAGGAAGAGGTCAAACAAGAGGAAACCGCTGTGGCAGGGGAAAGAAAGGACAACGACAGCGTGGTATTCCTCCAAGAATTGGATTTGAAGGGGGACAATCTCCATTTTACTTAAGCATTCCTAAGGAACCATATTATGCAGGACAGCAGTGCGTATATTAATCTGCAATACTGTACTGTTCCACACAAAATATATAAATTCAAAATTGTCTTTTTTTCAAAACCAATTTGCCTGTTACTCCATACAGAGTAATTACAGTATCGTTGAATTGCATGTCAGTGATTTTTTTCTTTAATGTGCCCTTCTTAGGTTTTGCTAAGATACTCTTGTGGTTCATTCCATGTCAGTTCAAACAAGAATTTATTTATTTAATGTGATCTCATCAAATTTGTTCTAATTTTAGGAAATGATTGTGATGCATTTTTACCAGCCAAGAATGAAAAACAAATCTTGGCCTCATATTTAGTGAGCTACAGTATAGTAGACTATGCCTACAATGTATTAGTAATTACCTTACAAAAAAAAATATTTACCTTTCTTTTAATTCTTACTTACTTCTTACTTCAGCACCCAGGTAGGCTTCCGCATGTCAGTGGTGCTAGAATCTCTACTCCACTTTTGTCAAACATTTAACGCTATTTCTCAATACTTGGAAGGTGGGCATGTTTAATTGACATGAAATAATCCTTGTTGTTCTTGCTGTTCTGAATATAAGTTGTGTGAATGATGCAATGTTGACATATGTATAGTTTATCCTAAGTCTTCTTCATATATCAGGTTTGTCCATGAATGATGTCATGTAATTGACCCATTTCATCCTAATTTTATTTTGGCGCTGTTTTAGCCTAACAAGTTTACTCATATGTACTATTTGATTTCAGCCTGAGGAGGCAGTATCTACCAATATCGTTAAACAAATTACAATATTTGGTCGACATGGGTCGAATTAACCCAGACGAACCTGTAGATCTTACATCTTTGGTCAATGCTAGAGCTGTCAGTATCGACATTTTTAAAAAGCATTATGGCGTGCAGCTTGTCAGTGAGGTGAGTTTGGGTTTAAATTTCTCTTTTCATGGATTTTATTACAAAGTGTGATTATTACCCACCAAAACATGACTGTTAATATAAATGCAAAGTAAAACTATATCTATTGGGTATTCTTGTTGGTCTAGTTGGTTCTTGACCTATACTCTACATATCTCAATTCTAAGTTTGAGTATTTATATAAAATGCTATCTTCTCTTTCAAGATTTATGCTACGTACATCATCTTAACTTGTTCATTTTTTGTAGGGTAAAGATAAATTTCAAGCTCAGCTCAACATAGAAGTGCAATGGGCAACAGAAGACGTAATCGCAGCAATTGAGCGCAACGCTGGAATCATCACTCTTAGCTTTTATGACCTACAAAGCGTTAATGCACTCGCTTACCCTATAATATTTTTTCAGCGTGGTGTACCAATCATGCGTCGTTCGCTGCCACCTAAAGACTTGGTCGATTTCTACACAAATCCCGACAAGCGAGGATACTTGGCTGATCCAGATAAAGTACGCAAAGCAAGATTTGATTTAGCTCAGAAATTTGGGTACCAGCTGCCGGATTTATCCCAGGACACTCGGTATGCAATGTTATCAATGCGCAAGGATCCTAGGCAGATTTTCTATGGACTTGAGCCTGGCTGGGTTGTGAATTTAAAAGATAAGACTGTATTGAAACCAAAAGATGAACAATTGTTGGAATACTATAAGTCATAGGGTGCTGTTTAGTTGTAAGAGGGTGCTGTGTTACTTCATCCAGCATCTGTCTATACAAGTCCGGTTTTTGATTTTCTATTTTTGTCTCCATACATGGTAATTTCTGTATACTCATATATTGAAACGTGTGAAAATGAAGAAGTAACAGAGCATGAATAAACAATTCAAAAACTGTACTGATTGAATTGTTAAATAATAGTATGTTGTTTGTGTCTATACACTGTTAAACTTGCCTAACTTGAATAATTTCCAAGCCAAATTGTTGGGCTTTCCCTTAATTAATGATCTGCAGCTCAAACTTTATCGAAGTCAAACAGGTTTTTAATGCCATTTTGGATTTGACTTCGGCAAGTTCAACTGTATAACTAAAATATGGAATATTATGTTGAGGTATTTTGGATGTTTCCAATCATCCATATACAGTACATTCAGTATTAAAAATACACATGTCCGTGGTGCAAGAAGCAAAGAAAATAGATTCAAATATGCCAAGGCTATTCAACAAGTCTGAAGTGAACAAAGCATTGCTCGTATATAATAAAGACGAAAACATACCTGAGCATTTATGAGAATTTTAATGTCTAAGTGGGGGCTTTTTCTACACAGTATTATAATAGAAAGGAGGCTGTGTCCTTAAAGAAATTTCAAAACACTATCATAATCAATTCACAACAGAACAGTGCAGATTGATGGCAACATTTATTCAGAAACAAATTGCATATAAAAAAACAAAATGCTTCAGGAACATGAAGACGCTGACTAATATTTTTAAAATTTGTTTTCCTAATGATTTAAACTTGGATTTGATAAGTATTCAGTATGAAGTCATGAGTTACCTTGGAACATCAGAAAAAAATTTAATGTTTCAGGTTCCACGTTACTCAGTTCATTCAAACAGTCAAATACGGCCCTCTATGTATTGATAGAAAAAATATGTGTACCCCTTTTTAGTGAACAGTCCTTTGCAATCATGATGATAGAGCTTTTGGTGAAATAAATATACAATGCAACCTCATTGAATTTCATGCCTAGCTTGATCTTGCAGGCTAGTCTTGTGGTCAGCTGGGTTTGGGTAGGCTTCGTAGGAGACAAGCAAAACTTCCTGCCTTGGAGCTGGCGAAAACTCGCCCCTTAGACCTATGTAATATATTTTGGTTGAGTCTTCACCAAAGTTTTTTGAAAAATGTATTGAGAGGGTGTGAACGCCAGAGAACCTTGCAATTCTGAAAAATTAAAATGGAAAGAGTTAGGGTATGGTAGTATCATGCATGCACAAATAAGCACCGTGACACTTAAAAGAAATGTTAGACCTTCCTTGAGATCCCATCATGCTGTCATATAAAGAATGTGATTTAAACTTTTTAGTAGTTAGATTGATACTAGTAAATATTATATATTTACTATGGAAACTTAGAAGTGCCACCCAGATGTCTAGATAATCAGCTCGTCATGTCGACATCCTATAGAAAAGGTGGTCAGATGGCAATATCCTGGATCTCGTCGTGTGTCTACATACCGTAGAAAAGATGATCAAATGACGAGATCCTGGATCTCGTCCTGTCTACATCCTTTAGAACAGATGATCAGAAGACGAGATTATGGATCTCGTCATGTTTACATCCTTAAGAAGAGATGAATAAGACAAACACAATTATTTGAATGATACTTACTTTGTTGAGTATTCCAGCTCACCTGTCCTGTCCCTCTGCATTTCAAACACTTGATCAGCATCGGCTCTTACATCATCGAAGGTCATGTGAGGTCGGTTCTTAAACCTGAACAACAAATATAAAGATTTAAATGTAACATTACCCTCTTGAGTCATGTCAACTTCTAGACTAAAAATGTAATTTTCTAAAAATTACATCACCCAGCCAATGAAGAGCAGGGAGTTCACAATATTTATATTTTCAAGGAACTGGATCACCAACAACCAGCTTGAGAACAAGGAAATGAAAATTTAAACGTAACTGAAATTGTGTACATTGTGGAGGTTGGTCCAGTGGCGTATCTAGGGAGTGCTTCAAGGTTTTTCACCATTTGAAAAAGGTCAGGTAAACTTTCTTATTCTTATTACAGTAAATATACCTGTTATGTGTATATACATACATAAACAAAATGAGTAGTTGTTCTTTTTCCCATGAATCAACAACCCCCCTCCCAACCTGTCTCTTATACACATCTAGATGTGTATAAGAGACAGGGGCCCCACCTTTTTCAAGACTTCCAGATATGCCACTGGTTTGGTCTCCCACTTTCAGGGAGAATTTTACAACAGGTAAATGGAAAAAAGTTTATTTTTGCCTCAAGAGAATTGGAGGCTTTTCCATTTCCATGTTATGCTTCAAAACTTTGGAATAATCTTCCAACTGACCTTAGAGATATCTCCGATCCTAATCTTTTTGAACGTGCACTCAAGACTTACTTGTTTGCCTAACTCTCTTTTTGCTGCTTTTTTCCTTTTGTGTTTTTATTGTTGTAATCTGTTTATTTGTCTTTCTTGTTTGTGTGACTGTACTACTGTGATGCTTCAGGTTCCAGAATAATGACTGATTTTATGCCTACCATTGTTTTCCTGAATTATTGAGGTTTGGCTTGCGCTTCATAACCGCAAGGGAAAGGCTCAATATAAATACTCATTACCAGTACCAGTAATGCAATTTGCACGTTAGCAAAATAGTGGGAAAATTTGACATGACACAGAGAATTAAAACAGAAACACTAGCAAAAATACTGAAACAAACACTACAAAATATTGCATATATTAATCAAACTGTCTGTCCCATAGGGATCCTCTCATCCCCAAGATTCTCTTCGTTATGGTATACTTGCCAACATTTTTGGTGTGTGATGAGCAAGAAAAAAAAATGTATATAGCACCCTCTATATAATAATCATAAAAAAGAGCGTCGCTATATTTTTTTTAAATTGTAGTGGACGGGACCTGCTATGAATTATACAGTCGTCGGTCAGTATAGATTCATTAAAAGAATAAGCATGGCCTGTATTCACATTTTAATGACAAATTCACTTCTTTTTTTTTTTTATTTTAGGGGATAATTAGGGCTATATATTTTATCTTTTATAAACACTTTTATGATGCGCGAAATAATATCACGTAGGCGCGAGATGCAAAAAGTAGATGCTCATGCGAGAGACTTGGGTGTTGACAAGTTTATTATGGGTCTGATAACACCATCGACTCGAGAAAATTCCACTAAGCTGTCTTCAAATATTAAGGACGTAGGCTTCATACTGAATATTGTTATAACTTGAATGCACGTCATTAATTCATTTGAATACAATACAATGCTGCTTTTGTGATTCAATTTTATAGTTAAATACTTGCAATCTCATTTCTGCCGGATGATAATCTTCTTCGCCACCAATTACAACAATTCCTTTTAACTTCACATGTCCTGTAAAACTACATGAAACAAAATAAAATTATGACACCAACAGGATTAGTAGGAGCATGTGCAGCAGTATGCAAGGTGTTAGACTTCCGATCGCAAGATCGGGAGTCCGAGACTGATGACTCATTGCTTGTGTCCTTGGTTAAAGGCACATTACTTACGTTTACCTCTCTCCACCATGAGTATAAATGGGTACCAGTGGTGGGAGGATGATATGGCATTGAATGTACTAGGTTGTGCGTGTATCGCATGACTAGAGATACTCCCCAAGAAGTAGAAGAAAGTTGCACAAAATGAGCTGGTTTGCCATAGATACCAACCATCTGGCACTGTGCTTGACGGTCCCGCATTTCAAAGTGATTTTGGATGAAAAACACATTTTGCAGAAACATATGCGTGATCATAAATTTGTCATGCATGTAGCACAAGTCTATGTGTTCTCAAATTATAACAAATTCTGGGGAAAATGTATTCAAAATTAGAATAAATTGGTTTTATTCAAATATATAAATGGTCATGCAGTAACTTGAGTCATTAGAGAGATTTCGTTATCTCGTTCGAGAATCAATTCACAAGCAAATTTTTCTTTCAAGTTTACGTACTCGGACCAAACAATTGCCAGCTTCCGCTATATCGTTTCACATTATCTTTATTAAAAATATTTTTGTTTATGTACCCTGGCGGCACCCGGTGCCGGTGTAGTCACTCAAACATTTCAAATCTCTCAGGTTGGTAACTATGGTTTGCAAACTCAGTATCTAGTGACCAAAGAAAATATGATTATGATGCCAGTGCCTTGTATTCTGTGCTTCGGATTGTTATTTTAATTGCGAATTCTAAAACAAAATAAAGTAATAATATAAATCTCATTATAAAAACTTGAGATATTGGAGGTATTAGTTATTACATTTCAGGTAAGCCTAGGCCTAGCACATACATCTCTGGGCATACATTATAAATATAAATTATGTTAATTAACTAAAAATTACTTACGGTATGTTAAAAAGAAGTTCTTCGTCAGCATCACTTTCAACCAACTACAAAGACAAAGAAGAAAATAAAAGGTAAATGCCTTGATAAGAAGCATGAATCTAATCTAGGTCTAACTTAGGGCCTTCGTTTGTCTATGACCGGTGTACATGCTCGAATATAAAACTAAAATAAGTAGCCCTGACTAGTCTAGCCCTCTCTCTCTCTTGGTTGACTCCTCGGGTTCGAGTATGTCGAAGCTGAATGCCTAATAGGTTCTGGTGGGTGATTTCATGGCTGAAAAGGCAAATCCTAGATCGACAGGATCGTCCACAGGTTGGACAGTACTACTACTTACTTGAGGCCTTTCTCTGGGCACGTACCTTTTCTTTATCCAGCCGTTCGTCCCAGGGCTTGAAGACCAATTTTCCCGACCCATCATCTACTTCATTTAGACATTCTACATTGTCTTTGTCAATTTTTGTGTATAAAGTAAATTGCATTCCTCTTTCTGGACCGTCATCATGCGAATGTTCATCAGCACAATTCCCGTGTCCATGCCCTCCTCCTCCCCTATGACTGTGTCCTGACATGTTAATTGTTACTCCCCTCCCAACTCTGCAGAGCCTTTCATCAGTGCGAAAAGAAAATATTGAACAGCGCCATCATTCGGTTTCTTATTCCCAGGGTTCCAATAAGCCCCGCCCCTTAGATATTGTTGCTAAGGTTTGGACTTTCAACCTTTACAAAACGGATACAAGTTTGATAGAACTGTAAATTCACAGAATTATGTTTTTTAGCCTGAATATGTTATACAAATACAGTATATTTTTTAAAATCATTTAGACATTTGGTGGCAGCAGGCAGAAAGAAAACTTTTTTTTTCATAACAAAGGTTGTATAAAGTCAAAATATAATTTTTCTCGAAATTATTATTGATGGGTGGCAGGTTTGTGAAACAATTTCCGAATAAATTATTCTATATATTGTTTGTTCGTATTGTATTTGTTTTAATTAAATTTCTTATCTATATATTGTAGCCTGCAGTATTTATTATTTTCTAATATCAGCCAGTAAGAATGGAACTGGTAACTTGTTTAATTAATACAGTTATCTTGATCATATATCTATTTAACATGTCTGTCCAACAGATTGATCTCCTTTGGTTCTGCATTAGTTTTTCTTCACCAGGCTGATACTCAAGTAGCCCAAAAAACACATCATCTCTTGTATTTTTTTATGGAGTTTGGGTCGGTCAGGCTTGGGAGACAAACATTTTGTCATCCTTACTCTTCCATGACAGATGTAACACAATAGAATTTTTAAGAGACCAAACAAAACACACTCAAAACTAATGAAAATATTGTTACCAGTGTTTCTTTTTTTATTATTTAATGGTACAGATTACACTATATCTACTATGAGCTGATTTAAGTTGAGTGATTGTATGATTGGTAGATTAGGCTACACTCTCTCACAGCCTGTAGCAATCATACATACGAAACACACCAACAAAAGTGTTTTGATCTTTAATGAGACCATGGACTGAGTGATAGGCCTACCATTGGGCTTTCATCCATGGTAACACAGCTCATGGTAAAGAGCTTAGTTAAATTTGTAAGAGCAAATCACAAAAACAATATAAAAGATTGTTAGAGGATTGGTTTGCCAGACCTGTAACTCGGTTCATGAGAAGTGCTGCTTTAAAAAACAATGTTTAGGATAAAATGTTACAGTACCACAATAGAAAATTCCCACCCCCACCCATCCTGGTCAGTGTTCTCCCGAAGCCGTCTTAGCCGTCAATTTTACCGGTAAAAATAACTAACCAACCAGTAAAAATTTTGAGTTTGTAAAATAAAAAAAACTATTGATTAGGCTTAGGTAGTCCAGGCTGGCCCTCTTAATAAATTAAAATCATTCCAGTCTATATCTACACTATGAATATGTGTTGAACTGTGTCTTCAAGTAATTTAACCCAACTAAAAAGGGGTAACGTACCTCACATTGTGCGCATTGCAATTTTTTATGGACAAATTTACCAGTAAAAATTTTTCAGTTGGGAGAACACTGCTGGTTATGGGCATGTTTGAAAAGAAAGCATTTTCAGCTGCATAATTAATAGGTACAGGTCAGGCTTCTATATGCACCTTATATGAACAACAAAGACATTATACAGTATTGTTATGCACAATTTTATCAAATTTGTGAAAATTGTTTATATTGTGGTTATACATATGTTATTTCAATTGCTTTCAATATGAAAACAAATATAAAGTCATGATGCAATATTACACAATACCTGCACCTGATCATTTGATGTGAGATGCCTCTTTGGATCCAGATTGAAATTTGCCTTGTAACTCTTGGCGCAGTTACAAAACTGCACAAGAATTTTCTTGCAGAGTTTTACTCTGTGCAATCTGATAAACTGTGCAAAGTAGTATCATATACTAATTTGTAGAGCATACACATGAAAATTATGACATGTAGGTCCAGAGTATGTACCCATATTTGGGCATTATAAGTAAACCTGTGATCCTTAACCAGTGACATATATGGTCCCTCGGAAATTGTTCAAACAGTTTAAACTCTTCAAAAACCATGATTATTAGAAACCTAAAACAATTCTCCTAATACTTTAGTTACTGTGTTTCTTAATATTCAAAATTGTGATTATACGCCTCAGTTACTTTGATTGCTTTCATTTTAAAAACAAAGCAAATTATGATGTAATACTAAAATTTGCAATGTAACTCTAAGCACAGTTTCGAAAAACTGCATAAAATTTTTCTTGCAGTTTTACTCTGTGCAAATCTGATAAATTATAACTGGTTGGTCCGTAGTAAACCAATATTTGGGCATTATAATTAAACATGTGGTCATTAACATATGGTCCCTGAAAAGTTTGAAATATTTTCCTTGCACACACAATTAAAGCCTGGTTCTCACGAAAGCCCTAGTATCCGGATCGGAAGACAACCGTTAGCACCTGCGTGACAACGCCCGATCGGTTAGCCAGGGTATCAGGATACTGCTATCGGTTAGCAAGTTGAACACATGTTTATCATCAAACCAATCACACATACGCGTTTACAATTTCTAGTTTCTTATTGGCCAGTGATTCGATCATAATATTTTTAGTATCCGGATCCGGATTTTCTCGTATAGATGCACGGCAGCTAACGGTTAGCAGGATCTGGATACAAGGTTAGCAGGATCTGGATCCTGCTAACTGTTAGCAGCCGTGTGAGAACATAGCCTAAGTAAATAAAAATAAATTACTGATGCATGTAAGTATATATACTGTATCTGTTTATATATTTGCATAATCATATAAAAATACTGCGAAAAAAATAAATGTTCAAACAGTTTAAACTGATAAAAAACCATGATTATTAAAAAAACCTGTGAACACTTCTCCTATACTGTACTTCCCTTAATGAAAACAATAATAAATATTTGGTATTACAGTATTATTAATTCCTATGGACACTATACAGCTTTTACACTATAGCTACGCACTAAAGACACATTTTCAAATATTTCTTTTAATATTCAAAAAGTTTTGGTCTTATTCTCTTACAACTACAGCATATTCAATTGTTGTAACAAACATTTATATAAAATACTATTCTTAAGCATTTATCTTGTTGCTTTGTGATTGAATTGTTATGGTAAGAAAGTTTTGTTCAAATACAAGAAAATGTGATTTTTGGTGGTAGTTATATCAAACAAGGTTTCAAATACTGGTCTCCCTCTAATTAAAGACCACTTTTCTGTGGTCCCAAATTGTTAGTACAGTACTTTAAACAAATACTGTTGATTGCCCAAGCAAAGTGACAATTGTAAATCAGGGTCAGTATGTGAGGAAATAATATAGAGTAATAGGCCTATGCATAATTCAGGGTTCATGGTTAACCATTACTCACATGTATTTTTGCTGGCAAAATTAGCCCTAGGCCAAAATACAAGGTTGAGATGTCAAACTAATTTATTGAAGCTTGAAAAAAGATCATTTTCAAACTTCATAGAAGTATTCTGCGGCAAATTTAGTTTGCCAAATATAAAAAAGCAAACTCAGAATTTCAGGATTTGGGGTCTGTTATGCTTGGGCAAATTTGAAAAAAAAAACACATTTCAAAACAAAATAACAAAATAACCCTATACCTGTGAAATATTACAATACTAATAATTTTAAATATTCAAATAATGCCCATTGAACCTAAAATTAGGAGTGTAATATTAAAATGGGCTACATTATTTCTAAATAATGTATAGTAATTCTATAAGCCATTAAAATACATGCATAAGCTAAAATCTAACCAGTATCATATTTTAGTCTAATTATGTGGCAAAGACAAGCCAAACCAGTCACTCGTCGCAAAAATCGATTCCAAGTTATTAATACAGTGTTAGAGAGTAAAATAATAGCTATAAAATGGTAAAAAAATCAATCAAATCGGACATTTCCTTACAAAGTTACAAGCGTTTAATCACACAGCTATTTAAAGAACAATATATATGAGAAATCAGCCTTCAAAGTTTATGATTTCAGGTATTTCTCATGCAGAAACTATCTTTAAATCCTTAAAAATTGTTGTTTTAACATTGAAAATGGGGAAAATAACAGCATAGAATGATGTATAGATATATAAAGGTTAGTTTAGTGCAATTAAATAGATTTTTAAAAATTTGACATTCCAGCATGTTTTGGCCATTTTCTCTAAAACACGATTTGCGACGAGTGACTGGTTTGGCTTGTCTTTGCCACATATGCTACAAGGGATACGATTGGCTAAGCTACTGTAATAGCTGAAATACTAACATACACTACTGCATGTTGGTGAAACTAGAAGTAATAAAGATCCAGGACCATATATTTTGCATTACTGGTCATGACAAGTACAATTAACAAATGCCAATAGATTAAACAAAGACGATCATTGAAAGAATTTCATCATAAAAAGATTTCACTTTAACATGTTGAATGCAAAAATAAAGTTTCTTATAAGTCTATCTTACATTAGCTAGTTTTCATAATCTTGTCCAATTAAAATAGTTTGTGTAGCCATGTTAGTCTAATCAGTGTTGGCACCAGAGACTCCCCAAAGGGAATCCATGTTCCTTAGCATGGTTGGGGCTCAAGTGAGCAAATTCTAAGAATGGACACCTTTTCGAGCCCAGAAATAGCACTTTACGATTGCGAAAATGCATTTCCAAAGTAGTGTTCCTCAATAAAATAATTGGGGGTTCAGGATTCTTAATATAGAGTACTGTATCCCGGAGTCTTGCCAACGCCACCACTGGTCTAAATAACTTGAATACAGCAAGAAAGATAAAGTAGTCCAACACTTTACAGACTAACTTAAATCAATTAAACTTAAAGCACTGAACAGTACGGCAGTTCACTGTAAATCACAGAAAGAAATGCACTGCATACTTTTATAAATGCTTGCGGTTCACCTAAAGCATCTTGTTGCCTAATTTATTTATCAATTACACTAATTCTATTTCGTCAACTGTTTAAAATGTAAGAAATGTACATTTTATTAAGATATAAAACACGATGGATATCTTAATTATTTGCACTTGATAATAAGACTAAGTCTTTCTATATTTATTGCTTGCTTTTAAAATAATAATAGTTATAATTACTGTACAGCTATTTTGTTTATCAATTAAAAAAATAATTTTATACAGAGCAACAGTGTACTAATATTTTTCTTAATTACGTTCACATTCATTGACTCACTCACTATTAACAAGTGATAATCTTTAAAATATACCTTATTATACGGTTAGTAAATGAAGTTGTTTTTAGTCATGAAGGAAAACCCTGGCATCTGCAGGAATTGAACTTAGGACCTTGGAAATGGAAGACTGTAATCTAAGTTACCAAGCTAAAACTTTCTTTGATTATTATTAATATACAGGTTTTGTTAGATTTACTAACATGTAAAACACACAGTAGACAAAAGTTGACAATAGGATCTGTTTGTCCTACAAATGTCAGAATGACTTACACAATGACTTTAACAGAGATGACAAAATGATACCTCAGAGGGTACAAATAAATTAACCTAATACTGTACAAGCATTGAGGTACATGTAAACATTAAAATAATATATTAAATTTATATAGCATCTTCCTTTGTACACAAATGAGTTTATATACTTCTTGTTTATTATTGTCCTATAACATAGGTGAGAATGTATTTCATGAAGGATAGTTAAAGCATCTGCAAAAATCCAAGTACAGTAAAATGTTTAAGAATTAATGGCTAAAAAATTAAACCAATTCACACCCGTAAACAAATGGAATAGTCCTTTCCAAAGGCTATACTGTATATTGTACTGTATTGTAATTGATATAAGTTTCAATAGCACACTATACTGTACTTGGTTTCTATTCAATTGATAATTTTAAAAGATAAAAAGATGGAGTAAAAATATTTGATTATGAACAAAATGATGTACTGTACTGTACAGCAGTTATTATACATTATTAAAATGTAATTAAAATCTGAATCTTGCCGAAGCTAAAGTTGTCATATAATATCAGGTTTATTTGAATTTGTAATTTCATCTGTATTGCTGTTTTCATCCTGCAAGTAAAAATAATTAACGGCATTTAAAAAACAGAGATATAAGTGCACAAATTTAAGAATGGAGGTACAATCAGAGGGGGAAATGCCTTCCCCACAGGAATAAAGACTCCACCTTTTTGAGTCTGATCAGTCATGTGATCTGTACGAGGTACTCTGTTTGTTATTGTTTTGAACGCTCAAGTTAATACACTGTAAAGATGGCAGCTCGGTGACGGTTTTTGCTGAATGTGTCAGTTGTAAACGACACCATAATTGTGGTTTCTATATTTTTTAATGTAAATTTTTTTTTTTTTTTCAAATCACTAACACATGTATAAATATGAAATCCGAGACATTTGGGACATCAAAAGGCATGAAAGATTTCGATGGTTAAAAGCTTTGACATAATATTAAAGAGAACTTTTCACGATGCATTTGTGTGTACGGTTAGTAGGCAGTCTGCTTTAGATACTGCTGTGCACACACACTTGGGCCTAGAAATTATTCTTAAGACTTGTTGCAGTCATAATCATATCCAAAAGATATGTCTAGCACCACATTATTGGGGGAGCCCAAGTTTCCCAGAACTCATGGGAGTCCCCCGGAAATTTGGATGACCTTCCGCACTAACTAAACAAGCAAGAATCTACTTAGCAAACAAAGTCTGACGATGATTTACAGATTCACTAGCTATTTGGTATCCAATATTTTGATTTAATACCTCATACAGATGACATCACTACCACGAAATAACCAAGCACAAAAGGTGGATTGCAAAGGTGGGAAAACAAGAAGATGGCAAAGACCTGAATGGGTTTCAGTAATGAAAAGTACCTCTTTTCCAATAGCAAGTCTCTCTCAAGTCCACACAATCAAGTTATATATGGCATAATGATGTCATATCATATCCATATATGGTAATTATGATGTCATATCATACCCACTATGGTCAAGATGTTGTAATACCACACCCACAAAACATGGGCAAATCACAGGTATTTTTATCACATAAATATAAATAGTATAGAAGACATTTTTGAGGAGATACAAACTTTCTGAACTGTTATACATTATTTTTTAAAGCTAATTGAAAGAAGTTACAATAAAGAGACAAATGAAGAAGAAGGGTAGAGATGATAGATGATGGATAAGAGGACTTATTTTAAAACGAAGAGGAATAAAGGGCAGATGCCAGTAGAGAAGTTGGCAGCCAAGTAACTGCCAAACTGCAGAAAACTAAAGACAGAAGTGGACATTAATTAAATATAACTGTACCTCATCACTAGCAGATTGGGATTGGTCTTCACTTGATGCATCGACTAGTAGAGAGTACCGCCCATTACTACAAGCCTTCCGCTGTAGGTAAAACAGCACAAAAAAAAAAAAAATTGAATTATAATCTACAGCAAAACAAAATAAAACACAGATATGATCGGGAGTCAAATTAACGATGCAATGGCATATCCCAGTGGTGGAAAAGGACTGTATAGAAAACAAACATGGATTTTAGAAGTGACATAGTTCAAAGGGTTTTCTGTATGGTGTCATTGTACTGTATGTGAACATTATTTCATTTTATATTTTCACCATTTAATTACATTATACTGTACAGTTTGCCTTTAAATTCGAGACCCTTCTAATTCCGAGGCCCTTTTGATTTGAGACCACTTTTCCAAAGTAGCAATTAGTAACCTTCAGTCATTAAACACAAAAGTTAACCTCCAATTGGAGATCGAACCACATGACCACCCCAGATATTCAAGACACAAAGTTAGTATTCAAATTCATCTGGTTTGATAACCTATAATTGAAGAAGAATGTGATTAGAGTGAAGATACTGTCAAGTAAATAAAATAAATTGGTTTATCAATTAAAAAGCATGTTATGGCTAGACTTTGGTCATTTTCATTTAATATGGTGAGCAATTCTGGTAGTCTATAATTAATAGTAAGTAAATGCAAAAGTAGCACTTTAGACATAAGTTGAGAATATATTTACTAAACTAACCTTATATCTACATAATACAGATCATATATGAAAAAGTTTTCTTCTCCATAAAGAGATGTACACGGAAACTTGTGTTAATTCTCAACTTATCTCTTCACTACTACTTTTGGTTTCACTTACTGCATAGTATTTTTATCTTTTTAAGATAAAACAAAGCAAAAGATATTTTGTAAAAAGATAAAGACATTCTAAGATTCTTGGTTTCAATTTACTTGATTATTATCAGGAATACTATTAACTTTAATTATATTGATATTTATCAATAGACTGCAATTTTTACTCTCAAAATGTCTGTCCTTTTTAACTTACTGTCCTTTTGTTTTATTTGAATGGCTAAATGTGGTATGTTTCTTCGCCTTCATTTAATTCCTATCCAGATTATCACATTTTAATTGAAAAAAAAAAAAAGAAAACAACATTTGACATGCATAAATATGGTCATGATGACTTCAAATCATGACCATATATAGACACATCATGACTATATATGGGCATATAACCGTTTTTTGTCGAAGAAAATGTTACAATCTGGACAAAGCTTTATAACTAAAGATGACATACAGTGTATCAAAATTTGATAGTACTGTCAGTTACTGTATACAGCAAAATATTAAAATAGATGGTGTACATTTTTTTATATTGTACTAGCAAAAAAGATACATAATGCTAAAACTGTGGAACACTGGTTGGTTAAAAATCAGATTTCATTATCTTCAGCTGGGTAGATTAAACTCTGCATACCCCATTTCATACGCTAATATTTAAATTAACCTTTCTGTTGCAGAATAAAAAGGTAGCCATTATTGACTACAATATATGTTGCCATTTGTACAATGTTAAAGCAATAATACCTGTAACCCGCTAACATGAAAAAAATGTTCCTGAATTTGATACATTGATTTCTGGTGTTAATCGACTGTACTGTACAGGTGTTAAAATGCAACCCATAATAGAAGAGTCCCAGCAAATGTTCCCAGCAGACTGGAGGGTTCTGCAGTGATGCATTCAATCTGGCTAGCATTGAGTCATGTTTTAAATGCATTACAAGTTGCATTGCAGTAGTTAGCAATTCCACCTTATGCCTACAGTTAGCTTCCAAAACTATGATATGTTCTAACCCAGTAGTTCCCAACATTTTTGCATTCACAGACCTCTCTGTGTATGTCAAAAGTTTTCACAGACCCCCCATGTTACTCAATGTCGATATTCCAGAAAATCATAGATAGACGATGATTCGCCACAAAAGTAAAATATTAACAGTGGCTTGGAATTGGAAATAAAAACCATCTGAGCCCAATCATGGTTGGGGCTGATTCACAAAATTGTTACAGTATGTCTATGGCCAGAAATGGCACTGTCAAACTCAAGATTTTAATGTAATCATCATCCATTCATTTTTAACTTTGTAAAATTTATTGCCCCTTCTGATTTTCTTTTATAATTCAACATCAAGGTAATACCATACAAACAACATAACCTGAGGACTACTAACTATCAAGTGGCCTTTCTATACTAAACACCCTTACATAAAGCATAAAAAAAAACAGATTTATTATAATATTAAGCAATATTGGAATTAAAATATGTCTATGCCTACTACAGTATGCGAATATTTCACATTATTGATAAAGGCATATAAGGAAGATGTTTATCACACAAGAAAGAGAGAAATATGGACTCCTGAAAATCTGGCGGACCCAAACATTTCTTGTGGACCCCCAAATTTTCCACACACCCCTGCAGACCCTTTTGACTTGGCGGTCAAGCAATTAATTTTTGCCGACCCCTAAGCGGTCCGCAGGCCCCAGGTTGGGAACCACTGTTCTAATCCAGCAATTATCCTCTGATAATGGTGGCTGAGCTGTAATAATGACTACAGTATACTTCTCTCAATTACCTCAGTCAGGCCAAGCATTTCTGTCGGTGAAAAAGTCTAATGTGCTCTATAGTGTACTGTACAGTATACAACAGTCACTGCATTCAATAGGCTACAGTGGGAAATTCCTTTACAGGATGGCTGCTATCCTATGAATCTAGCAATAAACAATGTTTAGCCAGGCTCCAGATATGTTGTAAAACTGATTTTATTTTTGTTAAAATGTAAAAAAGAGAGACAGGTTTTTGAATATAATTATATAAACTGGTGAAAAAGGATGGAAATAGGGTGTAACCATCTTATTAACCATTCCTGACCACTCTTTTTGTGTCTAAAAAAATCAGTTGTACAATACAGTATTTGTATATATATACTATACAATACTGTATATCAACATTTGTTCATCCAAAGCCTGCTTTAATAAATGATTATCAACAATAATGAGAATATTAAAAAATTTATTACATAATTGAAAAAACAGTATAAATATATCATAAAGGATGTTAAAAGCATTGCCGAGACATGGGTTTAAATTCTTCTGTACAGCATAATTTATACCATTTATAATAGCACAGGTGGGCAAAGTGCAGCTCGAAGGCCGCATGCGGTCCAACGGCAATTTTTGCTTGCGGCCTGCGATATCCATTTGTGTGCAGCCCGCCTGATGACACTAATTATCTGTAAAAAGTAGGCTACTATAACATTAAAACTGAGTATAAAGTTTTTTTCAGGAAATATCAACATTTGGGTGTGGCCAACAGTGTTACATCAAAAGTTTATTCTGACATCTCACCCAGATTTATAGTGTTTACTAGGACTTGGAGTTGCATGTGAAGTAAACTATAAACTAAGTGTGATTTAAAAAAAGCATTTACTTACTAAGTGTGAAAGGTATTTTACTGGCTCAGATTCATCTGCTCCATCAACCATAAATGACACTTGACCCGTTGATCTCGAAGCCCCCAAGATGATGAGGGCGCCGAAACCTATCACATGTGCAGTGATGCCACGATTCAACTTTGAATCAGGAAACACAAATGCATCAAGTAAATTAAAAATACCTCTCCACATACTGTTCACTGCTATAAATTGTATAAATGCATATAATTGCAGGACGATCAACCGCAGCAACCAGAAACTAGACAGTTTGTGTGAGATTCGTTGAACACCAGGATTAAGAACAAGAAGTATTAAGAACAGCGAGTACCCGGATGCAGTGGATACTATTCCGGACATTCCGAGATTCTTCGGATACAGGATTAGGTCAGTACATTCCCATACACCTCTCCAAATTACGACGGAAGCGGGAATCAGCAAAATATATGAGACCAACAAATCTGCAACATGCTTAACGGCCTCATGAAATGTTGTGTCTCGTTGTTGCATATTAAAACGTGTGTGGAACAAATCAAATGGTTTCTCGTTCCAATCGTACGACAAAAATCCTGGCGGGAACGATAGATTACTTACACCACGGAATGGAATTATCACTATCAAACCTAATACACATGATACAGTAGCATTTAAGATACTTTTACCCAAATACGCATCCAAAAGACCCCAGACCCCACGCCACACGCTTATTGAAAAAACTCCGGCCAAATAATAATACAAGCGGGTAACAATAATGTAGACAACTTGAATGGTGCGAAGTCTAGTGCATGTACGATTAAGTACCTCTTGAATTAAATGGCAACAAATAGAATATGTAATCCCCAATAAAAGGGATATCCAACAACTAGCTTTGCTTTTTTTTGGTAGAATGTAGTAGTCCATTAGAAGCCAAGTCCCTCGCCAGGCTAATATACAGCAGGGCGTTATAATGAAGATGACCAGAAACAGATCAAATATTCTCAATACTGTCTTCCTCCAAGAGGTCTTTCTGTTCACGTCGTTTTCCATGATTGAAAAGTTTCCGCTGAATGAAATGCAGGGCTGTGGAATACAAACACAGAGATGGCTGAAAATCAGCAGACATACAGGCTTTTATCCAGCAAAGCTGAGTGTTGTCAACCTCTTCTATTCAGTATTATTGAACCGTAACACTTTTATAATCATGAACCACAACTTGCTTCTGTGAACAAAATGAAATAAGCTTTCAGAAACTATTTAAAAATTACTTTGTAAAAGAAACAAAAGGTTTTCCATTTTGTATTATACAGTAGGTTGTATATGCAAATAAAATCTGCTTCACTCACGTAAAACATTCTAACAAGATAAGAAACAATACAATAAAGACTGTGTGTAAGAAAATTGACAGTAAGTTTCAATGAACGTTCTTTTGAAGCCATGTTCCCATGTAGGTACTCTACTGAATGCCACATGGAATGCCAAGTGCAATTGTATCAACATGAATTCCGTAGCATTATGGTACTGTACATACAATGGGTTTCTGGGAGGAGTGTTTTTTGTATGATATTCTAAAACTATTATTATTGACTAGTGTAGCATATCAATAAGACATGAAGTGTAAATGCTCAGGTATGAAATCATGGATCCTGCAATCGATAATTCTACACACATTGTGGCCGGCCCACATGGCAAATGTACATGTTCCAAGCATTGCAGCCTATTGTACATGTATCAGGTTCGTAGCTAAACTGGTTCAATGCCAGACTGGTCCAAAACCGTTTACAACCTGACATGATTCACAATGACATTCCACACAAAAGCTTCTTGCCTATAGTACCTACAGTCTACATTAACCACTTGGCAATACTGGGCATAGGCCAAGTGTAAATTTACTGTATACGTAGATTTGGCTTGGGACAGCTCTACAGTATTTTTGAAGACTTTAAATCTACTAAAGCGATTTTAATATTTTATTCCTGCATAGCCACCACTAAAAGTATTAGCCTAACCTCCTAGCCAGGTCCATGCTGTAAACTATATTCTTTGCACATTTGTTATGATAGTTTTATGTATATCCGAGGTCCTGATTGTTGAAGCTAGCTTGACCCTAACCCTTATACTTCAGTCTTCAGAGTTGACATGGGGCCGAGTTGACTTGGGGCTGAGATGACTGTGGCCGAGCTGACTTGATTTACCTTGATTTACCTTGATCTTGAATCTAAAGCATTAATGCTTATTCGCCCCTCTGTCTAAGTGTCTTACATACGGTTTAAACTTCTGGTGGTGATTTAGCCAGTGTTCTTCAAGTCTTGATTTGAACTGATTCATTGACTGTGAAGCCACAGCTTCAACTGACATATTATTTCAATTATTAATCACTCTCGTACTAAAGCTTTGTTCTCCCCACTTAATTTTAACTTTCGGTTTCTTAAATTTTAGTGAATGTCCCCTAGTAACTACTGTTGATGACAATTCAAAGAAACTGCCAACTTCTAGCTTATCAAACCCATTAAAAAATTTAAAAACCTGGACAACCGAGGCTCTCTTCCTTCTATAAGCTACAGTAGTGTTGGAAGATCTAATCTTATTAACCTATTCTCATAATCCAGTTCCCTCAACTCAGAAATTAATCGAGTAGCTTTTTGTTGTAATTTTTCTAATCTATCCTTATCTTCAAGGAATCTAGGCACCCAAACATTATTACAGTATTCTAATGTTGGACGAATTAATGCCTTATACAATAACAAAAAACTATCTGAATCCAAATGTTTAAATGCACGATGATTTTTATATCCAAAATGCATAATCTTGCACTTTGTCAAATTGAAAGGTAATTGCCACATTATAGACCACTTATACAGAGCATCAATGTCTTTTTGAAATTTAATACTATCGTCTCTATTGTTTACACTCATGTAAATCTTTGTATCATCTGCAAATAATTTCATTTTAGAATATTTAACCGAATCTGGAAGATCATTAATAATAAAAACTAAAATAGTACAGGACCCAAAACACTACCTTGAGGAACTCCGCTAACCACTTCTTTCCATTCAGATTTAATTCCTTCTACTACAACATGCTGTTCCCTCCCAGTCAGGAATAATCCAATCCAATTTAACAATCTGCCTTTGACTCCATATGCTTTTAACTTAGACAATAATCAAACGTGTGAAAAATTTTTCAAAGGCTTTTTTGAAATCTAAATATAAACAGTCAAAGCAATTTTGAGTATCCAATGATCTTTGCCAATCATTCAAAACTTCTAACAGATGAGTAGCACATGATCTGCCAGACCTGAAAGCATGTTGTGCATCAGAGAAATATAAATTTTGTTCAAAATGCATGACAATTTCATCTCTCACAAATTTTTCCATTGTCTTACACAAATTAAATGTTAGGCTTGCTGGTCTATAATTTAATGGTACAGACTTGTCTCCTTTTTTATATAACGGGACAACATCACCATATTTCCAAGACTCTGGTACTATTCCTTCCTTTATAAACTTATTAAAGATAATAGCCAACGCTTCCCCCAAAATATCAGAATTTTCTTTTAAAATACGGGAATGAATCTCATCAGGACCAGGAGACTTGCAAATATCAAGACCACTCAAATAGTTAGTTATATCCGAAGTTGAAAAGTTAACACAATCGATAGGTGGTGGTTCAAACTTCAAATCTACAACAGGAATATCATCAAGATTCTCAACGGTAAACACCCCAGTAAAAGATTCAAACAATTCAGTTTTATTAAAATTAAACGATAGTGTGTTTCCTACATTATCTTTTAAGCCTGGAATAGAGGGTTTATACTTTCTTTGACTATTTACATACTGCCAAAAAGATTTCGGATTAACCTTGACTTCTGATGCTATCTTTTTCTCTAAAGAATTTTTTGCCTTGCGTACTTCATTAGTAACTTGATTTCGAGCCACAACAAAACTATTCCAACTTCTCTGATCCCTACTTTTAAGATATTTATTCCAAGCCTTATGTTTAATGTCAATCTTATTTTTCACATCTTTATTGAACTACAATTTGTTTTAGGAGTTTCAGTTGTTGGATATCCACAAATTCTAAATAACAAAACAGCATGATCGCTTTTTCCCAGAGGAGGACCATATTCTAAGGCATCTACTAAACTTTTGTCTCGAGTGAAAACCAAATAAAATTCGTAAAATGCATTTCAGTAACTATGTCTTCATATTTCCATAGTAGTAAATGAAAAATTCCCAGTAGCACCTAATAATTTTCTTAGAGTGCAAGACATAGGTTGCTCAAAAATTGCAGTTTACATCTGTTGTGGAATTTCAAACAAACTGGACGGGATAAAGATTTTATGGGTCACTTTATCTTAGTTTTCAAAATAATTAATCAGTAATCTGACAAGTATGAGTTGTCGAGGGACAATATTGTAACCAAAGATCCTGATGGAAAAGTCATTTGTTCTGGACTTCAAACCTATTTATTTATTGGTCTGGCTATGATAAATTTCCGCACTTTTGGTCTATTTCCATACTGTACATCCTTAATTAGGCAAAATTTCCGTAGAGACTAGGCCTAACTACAGATGTTAAAAAAATCCAATATCATTGGTTTGAATACATTCAACCAGGTTATAATTCGCACTAAATGCATCCGCTCGAACAGACATTCGCTCGAAGAAGCATCTACTCGTATCTTTGACAGGCATTTATCATCAAGACCATATTTGGATAGAAAATCCTCCTCCTCGGTAGGCAAATTATTTTATTTTGGTCTAACT